GGGTAAGCGTCGTTTTAGGACTGATAGTTGTACGAGGCAGACGGGTGGCATCTGGGTGGGGCTGGGAGACCCACAGAGCCGTGCGAGTCTGACTTCGACCGATTCCACAGCAGGGACCTGCAGAGTGGACATGCCTGGGAAGCTGTTTCAAGTCCTCTCTCTTTCCCCTCTGCATGGTCACTCTCAAGTGCTTTGCAGTCGAGTTTCGTGTAGTGTCCTAACTTCACGTTCGCTGTGGCAGACGGAGGGTCAAGCTTGTGCCCGGGCTTCGCAAAGGTGGCTTGGCTTGAGAGGGCAGCATGAGGTGCCAGGACGGGACTTCAGGGCTGTCCACTCAGATGTCACGTTGTCAGGAGGGACGGAGGATGAGGCCAGATCTCCGCGTGGCTGCCCGCTTCTTGGTGACTGCTAGAGATGCTTTAGGAGGAATGCAGTCAAATGCGGGCCCCCTGCACACACAGAGACCTTCTACGTGAGGCATCTGTCTCTAAAATCGTGTCTACCAGGAGCAATGAAGTCTCACTGGGAATGCAAATTTACATTCTAACCTGGGAGGCTTTTTAAAAAATTATTATTTTAGGGAATGCCGTACTATTTTTGCGACCACAGGGCTTGGCCATAGAGTCCACCATTCGAACCTTGCAGGTGTAGCTCTAAATTAGCTACGTATGTAATTTTTCTAGGGAGGTACAGCACGTTTTCCTTGAAGTTTTATGCGTTTCGCCTAGTTCTGCCGTTCACATTTCCCGCTGATGGCCGAACAAATTAATTTCCTCGTCGTTGTTGATCATGGAAGGAAGTTCAAGAGCGACACAGTCTTGTCACTGGCTGAAGTTGACTGTCTCACAGGTACAGAGGATGGAAGTTCAAGATCGAGGTGCCAGAGGCGTTGGGTCCTTCTGAGACCATGACGGAGGATCTGTCACATGGCTTTCTGTCAGCTTCCAGTGCTTTGCGGGCCATCACTCAGCGTTCCCTTGTCTTACGGTAGACGCATCACCCCGATCTCTGGCGTCACATTCACGTTGCGTGCTCCCTGTGTGTGGGCGTCATGCCCTCATCTCAATTGAAACACCTGTTCATGGATTCCCGTCTCCAAATCCGGGGACATTCCAGGTTAGGCCTTCGACATGTGAACTTCGAGGGGACGTAGTTCAAGCCGTAATGCTGGCGAGTTACACAAACGTTACTGAGGTTCGGGACGCCCCGTTCTCCTGGGGACGCCTGGGGATGCTCGACATTTGGTAAAAGAGAGAGTTGAATGCGTGACGAAAGCCAGCTCGGCATTTGAAAGGGTTCGGCTAATTCTGCAGAATTAGCTGGATTTCAGAGCATTTGATACCTGCAAGTTATCCGAAATCCAGCTGATCGAAGAGCGTGCCAAATCCTAACGGTATCGAGTTCAAATTTGTATCTCGTTGTTACCCACACGCACGCACGCGCACACACACACACACACACACACAATGTACTAATCATCCCTATATGCACTTTGCTGGCTGTTCACTTTTTAATGTAGTGCAATTAAATAAATGTCAAGTACTTTCTTTCCCAAGCGTTCTTCAGATGTGCTCTTAACAATTACAGCCTGCCTGCGCTGCCGCGGCATCGCAAATTGTTGGCACTTGAGAATATTTTAAGTTTGTCATACTTCCTGGCAGAATTTTTAGAACGCGGGTGCAGATCCGCAGATCTGAGATCTCAGGGTTTGGCCTTCGTGGCCGTTTAATGCAGGATTTACGGTCCATGTTCTTATGATGATTAATGATTCCTGCTTTATTTTTAAGCACGAAACAGAGACTTCAAGATGGGCCCAGTAATTAAGTCAGCCAGTATAGAAACAGGGAAAATTTTAACTCGGCCCCCAAAGGTATGTTTCCTATGTAAAACATGGAAATTGTGATGAAGGATCTCAAGAAGCAGCTGTTTTAAAGACATCTCATCCCTTCAAGGAACGATTGGCATTTTTATTGTCCAGAAATCAACTCCATATTAATCTGCATCCCAGGGCGAGTTGCATTGGGAGCAGCACGTACATGCGCAGTACGTCAGTGGACGTGATCAAGCAGCGTCCGCCTGCAGAATACGTGTTTCGAAGCCTCTTCTGTAGAGCGGTAATTGTTTGTTGAAAGTCCCTGGCTTTTTTGTTGTTGTTAATTAAAAAACAGAGGCCAGCCTAGCATTGTGTTAATGAAAACAAAGGCCTTCGAGAATATTTAGTGGATGATTTTAACTGGAAGTCAGAGCACGTAGGGAAAAGTCAAAAGGCCAGGACCGCACACAGACATGCAATCCAGAAGCAGCCATGCTTGCACAGCAGATTCGGAGCCGCTGCTCTCTAGAGGCTGTTAGGAATGTCTCCTCTAACCTTCTGGAATAGTCTAGGTTAGTGCAGGGGGACACACAGGGCCATGCATGCACGCACACACGCGTGTACACACACACACACACACACAGACACGCCACACTGCTATCTTTTTCATGGCCGCCTAATATTCCACCTCTAAATTACTATCATTGGACTAACGTTTATCAGTGGCCATTTCAATTTTCCTGTCTTATTCCTGCGCTGCTGCGTCCACCCGCTTACACATATATTTCTCTTGCTTGTTGGAGTGTGTGTCTCAGGGTAGCATCGTAGAGGGGGACATCCATGCCGGATCAAAGGCCACGAGCATTTTTAGGGGGGACTCCTTGGTCAGACTGCTCTCTCAAGATGCTGCCTGATTCCCTCTGTCACCGTCACAACCCTTACTATGCCTTATCGATCCATCAGCTCCCCGTCCGCTGGGAGCTTTAAAATGTAGGCTCCCATG